AACGGACGTTTGACTTGCAAATACCTAAACGTACCCGACAGCTTCACCGATGCTTTGGTTTAACTGCGAGTAACGGGCGTCTCCTACACTCACCGCATTACGACTTCACAAGACAGAGCTACACAGCGAATTTTACCACCAAGCAAAACTCGCAAACCCCGGGGTGGTTTTCTGGCCGCTGGGAATTTCTTCACCCATCCTACTGTTGTAGGCGCTGCTACGTAACGGTGCTGACAAAACCCTGCATCCCTGGGAAATGATTTAACGAGAGTCAGGGGATTTTTATTTCACGGGTTTCTTGTTATTGTTGCTGCTTGAAAAATACCTTAGAATCGTGTAATTCCTCACCAAGTGTGTGCTTCCCTCGCAGGTCTGGTTAAGGGAAAGGCGCTCGGTTATGGTACGACGGTGCCAGGCGGGTCAGCACTGCCCTCCTGGTCCATTTGGGGTTTCCTCTCGCACTCGATCCTACACTTCAGGAGCTCCGGATCATCTGTTTGCTCTGCCCGATGGGATCCTGGCCCGAGAGTAGAGTCTCTAAGGGCTGCAGTGATTCAAGTGCACACCAGGTGACTGCTCCGCACTGGCAGCTATTGGAAAAGAGGATAATTTGACTATTTTCAAGCTAAATGTAGTCCACAAGTGGGACACAGTCTAGGAGATTAAAAATTTCTTGAACAACCAAATTTTGCCGCCTATAAGTGGGACACAGTCTAGGAGATTAAAACAGAAACATGGACCAGCACTTTTAGTACTTGAAAATTTTATTTTCTCAAATGAGCACCAACACATATTGTAAATATGACAAACAATACGCCTCCCTCTAATACTGAAGAACTATATACAATGTACAAATACGTGAAAAGGTGGCAACCAATTATTTGAAAACAAACAATTGCATTTATTACTGAAGCAAATGACCTGAAAGAATATGCCAAAAAATAAAATTAAAATAAGATCAAAGAAATAAAAGTATACACAATTTGTAAACACAAGAGCATCAATAGACAGGCTGGTATTGGAAATATTGTCCTTTAGTTTTGTCAGTGGGGAAAGCATTCCCATTTCTTTATGAAAAACAAAACAAAGGATACACACAGTTCGTAACTATGAGAATAGCTTATTTGTGGTTGTACCTTACACAATGCCATTCTGCTTGCATTTAAATATGTTGATTTTTTTTTTCTGAATTCAAGATGATTTTTGTTTCCCCTCTTCCACTTATTCTTTTTAAACAGGATTCTGCAAAATCTATGCCTAACGTAATTTGTTTCTGAGCATTTAATCTCTGAGGCTTCTCACCTGGTGGGAAGAGCTCCTTCCCACTGAGCCGAGCTCTGGTTCTCGCCAATCTGTTTACCCAACCGGGTGTTTGGGTGTCATCTCTTCATCCAAGAACTGGTTCACACGGAAACATGATGCTCCTCCCGAAACAAGGAAGTGCAGTGAAATGCATGATTAACACTCTCTCACATACCAGTTAGAAAAATGCATACAGAGAACATTCTCACTTGATCATCACAAGAACAACAGATTTCATTCGTAGGGTTGGTTTTTTTTCTGTATATTTTTAAATCGTGTGCACCAAAAACAGAGAATTAAAGAGCGTGCAACAGTTATTCAGCACTGAAAACAGCTCCTTGCTCAGCAAAACACAGTCCAGTGGTTTATGCTGTTGGTCCACTTTGGGATAAACAAGAGACCCAATGAATTAAAAACAAAGAAGGGGGAAAAGGGGGGAAGCTAAAGACAGAAAGGAAAACAAAAAAAAAAAGAACTTTACTGCCAGAGAGGTAAACTTTTACTCTAATTTGTTATGTAGCAGCCTGGTTTAAAAAAACAACAAACAACAAAACCAACCAACCAACAACAAAAAAACCCAGAAGAAAACCAGGATCCCTGTCCAAAGACTTATGTTTTAGTCTAAAAACGACTAGTTAGAAACCTCCATCCTCCATCCCTGCTGCCTCCAAGCAACTGGAAACAGCGACTCAGAGGCTGCAGCTCATATTCAATCCTGTTTTCTAAGTCTTGATATCTACTTCATTCCAGCCAATACTGGTGCAAGAGAAAATTTCAGGCCCAGATCCTACAAACCAGATCTCCTCAGGACAGTTGTTCCCAGATGGAGCCCCACCAGGTTTCGTGGGACTCGCAGCGGGAGCGCGAGCTGACACGGGGCTCGGGCTGCCGGACGGGACCCCCGACACTGAGCGAAGGTGTTTTAGCACATAACTCCAGCCACCGCAGCACTCCCCAGGAGCCTGGGGCTACCTCCCGTCCCACACATCAGTACCTGCCTGGACCACGGGCTGCTGTCCATAACCCGGTCACCGCCTGTGCCAGAGACCAATTCTGCCGGATGGAAGCAGGAGGGAGTGCCTTCTCCTGCCACGTCCAGAGGAAACATGGATCGACTTAAGAGGACAACGTATATATGATTTTTGTTTCCCTTTCAACATATTTTCCAACAAATACAGAAGGAAACAGTATCATTTATAAACAACAAAAAAGTGCTCTCAGGGAGGGGCTCTGAGAAAACAGCACCAAATATATTATTTTTTTAAAAAAATTAAATATTATTTACAAAAGTATATTTCACAAGATAATGGTTTTTTTCCTGCTTTGTATATATTATCATCTGAATATTTATTACAGGGATCAGGATTTCACACCAGATAAATCCACCAGAGCAAAACAATTTAAAACTTACTCAAGTCTGAGCTTTGGGGGTAGGTGGGGGTGACGTAAACTGAAGGGTGCACGCCGCTTGCCAGAGACGAGGCTGCCACATTAAAAAAAAAGAGCAAAACTCGCTGCTGTTCGTGTTTTCTCGAGGATGCCACCCACGGAAAGCAGCGCCATGGGCACTCAGTGCTCTGCATTCAGGCATTGCCTGCCCGAGGAGGCAGTTCCCACGGGCCGCATCTCCAGCGCGGAAACAACGGTCCCACCTTGCTCACCCCAGTCAGTAACGAGCTGCCTACAGTCAACTCACGCGACCAGAGGGATGCAGAGAGTGAGGTTCTTTGGTTATGCTCTGAATATATCACTCTACGAGCCATCAATTTACCCTGCGCTGATTGCGGTAGCCACTAGCACACGGATCCGACCATCCTGTTTGGTCACCAGCTCCCAATACTGTCATGTGGCTTAATACAGCAAGTCACAGGTGAGTTAGCAGCGGACTAAAGTACTTCATATTTAATGGACACATAGCAGAGAACAAACGTCAGTGAGTCTCACAAGCCTGTTTTTCCTGATCCCCCTGTACGGTGGATTAAAGTCACTCTATAGGTAATTCTCTGGGTGTTGGGGTCGTTCACCGGCAAACATATTATTTTCGTATGGGGGCTTGAGGCCAGATTCTCAGCAAGTGTGAATCTGCGGATGCTGATGGGACAAAACCAATTAAAACCAGATTAAGATCTTGCAGGATTCAAGCTTAGACTGGTTGCCATTAAAAGCGTAACCCCTGTGAACAGTTAAAAACAGCCCGATCTGATGGATCATCACCCTTGCTTGTCCCAAATATATGGATAAAAACATTTACGTCTGGTAGCTCTCTGTAGTAACTGATCTTATTTCTCAGAGCAGTCCTCTAGACAGGCCTACCTTTTCTATCGCTTTTTTAAAGGCAATCACTCTAAATACCAACACAAAACCATGAGCTCTTTTTGTTAATCTCATTTTATTAATTTGGGGTTATCCCTTACTTCTCCCAGCTCCAACCAGACCCTTTAAAGGCTACGAATCTGGGGAGACTGAAGAGCTCTTCAAAGAATGCAGATTACTTTCCACTAGTCAAAACCCAATAAATTGTCACGGATCACCAACCAAAGGACAGAAAAATGGGTCCGGGCCAGTGTCAAAGTCAACAAGATAGTGGCTATTGCAGAGGTTTTGATTTCTACTAGATTTTTATCACTGAAGGGAATGCGGATGATGGAAGCAGAGACGATCAGCAGCAGAAGCTGAAGCAACTGTTACACAGCCACAGCAGAAGCCACCTTCTAACGGGCCAGCCACAAACCAAGCCAACTCTGTCCACTGCAGGAGCTGCGGCCAGACTCCACCTCACTTCTCTCTCCAAGGCTGTAAAGAACAGTGGTTCAGCCTTTGCTTAGATGGGCCAGTAGGTTTGGGTTTCAGCACCAGGACCCCACATGCACGGTCTATTCTGATCCCTAAGTAGCGTCTCTGCTCACATCCCCTTCATTTAACAGCAAATTACTTTCTCACCACCAGCCCTCCGTCCTGATCCCACTGCTAACTGAGGATATCTTGGTGGTGGGGGCAAGCAACAACAGATTACAGCTCCAAAGCTTCGGTTTCATAAGGAGTTACAAACCCCTGCACAATACTCTTTCCTTCTGGATTAAGAAAGATTTCCCCCAGTGGATTAACCTACTTGAAAGAATTCCACAAACACAAATAAAATTCACTCAGAGAGATAAAACTAATTCGGTTAAATAGTCTTGAGTTGTGCACCAGATACTGGCTGGACTGTTGCAGAGCAAACTTCACATTGTCATATACAGGTCTATCACAGCTCCCCTCTCACACGCAATGCCCCTTCCCCGCCAACCACCTCGGGAAGGTCCACAGTAATTAAAATGAAAAAATTAAAATGGGAAGGACTTGTCCCTTGCAGTTATGATGCCCACATCTACCCCCCTCCCCTCTTTAAACTCCAAGGCATAGACAATTTCAGGGGTAGGGGGAAGATGTTTAGTTTCTTTTTTCTTTCCCATCCCCCCCTGTGCCTGCAACAGGCTTCTGGGAGTGGGAAAAGGGGGGAAGGTTTTGGGAGGATACCTCATGGCTTGAAATATCCACCTGTGCAATACTGCTACAACTGCCAGGCTCCTCTGCTCCCTCCTCTCCCCACTCTCGCACCATTTCTCTGCTGGGCTCCAAGAGCGGAGCTGATGGCTGGGGCCTGGGATTTAAGAAAAAGACTCTGTAACAGCATTTTCCTACTCACACTTGTGAAGGATTGGTAAAAGACTCCCAGGGATGCTCAGCGCAGGCCGGGAAATCAAGGGGTACCCTGCATTACTAAGTTTGTCCCCATCCTCCTCTACATAATTTCCTCTTTCTTGCCTAGCACGTGCCTTTTTTTTTTTTCCACCTGTCATCTCTTCTAAGCTGCAGGTCCAGCCCCATCGTGCCTTAAGTGGTTTTCTCCTCCTCTCTGAAGGGCTCAAGAGTCAGGATTTGGTTTCTCCAGCTGGGAGGATGCTCCCCACAGCTGTGCTCTGTTGGGATGTTTGGCCTACCTACCCTGAAACAGAGAGAAAAAGGAGAGGCGGGGAACCTCTCCAGCCTTCAGGTCCTCCCCCCCCTCCCCAAACAGCAAGTTCATAAATAGCAAACAAAACACAGATTTGTGATTAGCTTGCGGGGGGGAACTGGTTATGACTTGTGCTCAGCCGACTTAGACTGAAGCTCCACCGATGGAGCAGCGGTTTTACGATTCGGAGAGAACGCAGCCGTGAGGTATTTTTCTGTCCATTTAGACAAGTAGATAGTTTCAAGCCTTGGTTAACCAGGACTTAAAGGAGAAGTACAGTTTCAGCTTCTGATGGCTTCCCTTCGGGCCCACTCCCCACCCCCTATCACCTTCTCCTGCCCAAAACTCGTGTCTTCCTCCCGCACCGAGACCTTCTGATAAAATGCCACCACAGAGCCAACTTCAGTTTGTACTTAAACATTCGTCAACATGGAATGGCTGTCGGGCATTCGGTGCATTCTCTTAGCCAACGCCAGAACAGAGAGAGAAGCAGCCAGGGTCAACTCACAAACAGATACAAAGCAAAGAGACAGAGAGACAGAAATTTAGAGGCCAGTCACCAATAAAGATGGAGAAGGGTGTGAAGATGCTCCCAAATTGCAGAGCCTCTAAATGCATGGAACCAAGCGTTCAGTCACTCTCTCACTCTTGGATATAATGTTCGGTTGGATGGCATTCTCTTACACGCTGGTAGGGCTGGGCTCTTTCCACTCAATCCCAGCCATTATCCTTGATCATGTGAGCTAGTTCAATGATGTATTTGCCTTCTTTATACTTCTGGCTGCTTTCAAAAGCGTGTTCCTAAAAAAAGGAGAAAGAAAGAGATCAAGATGATATCTGAAGGTAAAGTCACAGTTACAGATCAGATCCGGGAATGCTGGTATGTCTTGACCCTGTCTACAGAGTAAAACAGCCAAAACTGCAGGTCCTCCTGCTAGTTTTCAGGAAAATTACGTTGGAAGAATATTAAATCCTGCTTCTAGCTGTCTTTACAGGCTGGAAAAAAAGAACAATCAGGCACCATGTAAACATGCAGCTTTCTGTAGGTCAACGGGAACTGCTCCTTGAGCTATGCTTTCAGAATCATCGGTGATAAAATCCACGTCTCTCTGGGGTGGTCTGAGAATTGATTAATGTTTGTTAAGAACACAGAGGTCCTCTGATGAAACATGCTGTAAAAGCACCACCATCAAGAACGAGATGGATTATGGTAAACCGCATGTGGAAATGGAGCGAACGAGCACCGAGGGACGAGAAGAACCCACTCTACGCAGGTGTGTGCTTGTAGCTACAGAAACACACAGTGCTTCAACACTGCAGAAATAAGGAAGTCTATGGGGTCCCTAACCAGGAGGGACTGCCGTTATGGAGGCTGCATCCTCCACAGTGGTTCAGCTCTGCTCAGGTGTGCTGTTTGCGTGCACGCAATGCAGCTGAAATAATGTAACTCCATTGCTGGAGAGGCTTGGGCTTACTGCTGTGTTTACAACATTTTGTATTTTGTTTGACAATAAACTCAATTTGTGTACTTAGTGTCCTTCTCCATTTGTGAGATCCATGCTGTGTTTCTGCATGAATTCCTACCGCATCAATTTTTGATGCTTTACTTTTTATAGCCTTTCACCTGATTTATTAAAGAATATTTCTGTCCAGAGGCCACAGATACAATAGATGTTTTGTTCAGACACTGGCCAAAATGTTTTGACAAACAAGTACGCTGCGTGCCTCCTGAAGCACAAATTAGGATGTAGCATAAGCCTTTATTTGAAGGTAATTGAATTTATGAAGAGCAACAGACAGCAAACAGATTAACTCATGTTCAATAGCATTTCCAGTGGGAAGGACACAGGATTAACAATATATGGATCATTCTATTATTCTGATATCATCTGGCAAAAATGACAATATGAAACACAAGACTGACTGAAGTTATCGTCATTTACATTAAGTATCACTAAGGGATGCCCACCAAAATCAGGCCCCCAGTGTACATTCTTAGTAAAAAAATACATTAGCCACAAAGAGCTGCCGCTCTGAATGGATGCAACAAACACAAAACAGGAAGGAAAACAGAAATACAGGAAAGAAAAAAGATGTGGCTACAGACCAGAACCCACATTTCTTGTTCCCAAGTTAACGGTCTTTCCAGGAGACCACATTACCATACACACACCTCCAGAAAGGGCTGGAGCAAGGATGTGCACAGGAAAAACAAATGATACCGATACTCACATATTTCCAACCCAGTGTGGTTTTGCAGTTTTCACAGTAAATATCTGCAACCGCATGTAATCCTGTTAATAACACCCGCTCCTCTGCAGGGCCACAACCCACATTAACTCTGGGGAAAAAGGAGAGATGCTCCCTATTAGTGTGTCTTTCCACAGCAAGATGCTGCAATGAAGCTGACAGCAATTTTATTGCAGTATTTGAAAACATAAGCGAGAGGTTCAGGATACCGAGTACCACAGCTGTGACCGAAACAACGATCTCTTGCGGTTCCTGAACAGAATGAAAAGGTGAAACAGAATTTTTATTCAACTAGAAAGTCTATAAAGCTTTGAACAGAAAATTAATAACGTTCTAGTAAATTGCACTAATTACACATTTGAGAAAGATTTTAATCTTCAAATCGATAAAATGGTACTTTTACCTTCCCAAATGGAAACTTGAAAAATGTAACTGAAATCAGTTCTTCTGAAAGACATCCCAGCAGTGATCTCACCAAAATTATTTTCAGTTATTGGGAAAATTATACTTATTTTTTATGCTAGCTCTATAAAGTTCATATTTAGATATTATTTATTCTCTGCATTTACAAAATTTTGACTCTTTGGTTCAACTACATTCTCTGAGAAGAGAATGACTCATCCGTTAGATCTTATTTCTCAATCTGATGACGAAAAAACACCTTTTCCTAGCTCCTTATCTGAAACCCCAACATAAAATCAAATATGAATCAGTGCTATTTCCTGCCTCTTTCTCCAACCATTTCCAGCAATCTCCCAGGTCGCAGGGAGAGGTTTTCTAAAGGAAGACTATCCTTTTGTTTTCTTCTTCACAAGGGTTTTCTTAATTCTATTCTAAGAGATGCAGAGGTGACATGTATGAAGTTATACTCACACTGAATTGAAGAGGTATGCTCGTCCTTGGCTTCCTTGAAAGGACTGAAAGGCAAGAAAACAGAATTCAGTTGGCTGGTTGGTAGAAATAAGGGTAAACCAGGACCTGCCCTCACCGACTGCATTAATGGTAGTTATAGCAACTGTTAGCCAGGGCCTGAGAAACGCACATCGTTACAGCCTTTGAGATGGAAAGAGCACAAAGCAAAATGTCAGGAGGAGATGAGCACTGATGAACAGAGGTCTTGTCCTGCAGAGGGGAAGGGAGCAGCTGCCTCCAGTTCTAATGCCGGCCCATTTCACAAGGCGTACTGGCAGCCCACTGGGAACTTAACCTGATATTACCCGTGTTTCCAGTGCCGTACAAGCCCAATGTACTTTTCAAGAGTTAAGCTGTTTTCTCTCTTATATCCCGGCAATGTCTATTTTCACCCTTTCGGTTCTGTTGATGAATTTCACACTGCCTCGACCTTACCTTATGCAGCCCTGCTGCCAAACACTGATTTGAATCTCATTTCTAAAAACAAGGTGCTCACGGAGGCTTCCCGTTGCACTGCCAGTTTTGACACACCGCTGTTGCACCTGACAGCACGCAAATTCCCCTTCGGAAGACTGCACAGATGGATGCTGAACCAAACCGAGAGACTGGGACCTAGCTGTGCAAGGTGCTGTGCACGCAAATACCTCAACTCTACTGATTTTACAAAAGACCTTAACCTTGCTGAGGTGCCTGCAAGCCTTCATATTCCCACTGATGCTAGCGAGATCTTCAGGACGGGGATCTGAACACAGGATGAGATACAACTGGGTAGAGATGAACGTGGCTAAGAGAGAACCACATAGCAGCAAAACCACACCAGATAATCACCAGTCATGGCACATCCTCTCTGCCCCGCGCTTTCTCAGGATCTTCAAGCATCACCACGACAAGGCAGTGTTTTGAAGAGAGCGGGGCAATAGCAGCCTGGCGGGACACTCCAGGTAGCCGGGACACTTCCAGGAGCCAGGAGGCTCCACTTGTGTCAAGCCTGTAACATTACGCTGTGACAGTGCCTCGCTCACAGGAGCTGGCTCACACATAGCAAGTGCTACCTGCATTTTTAATGTACTTTGACAAGCACACACTGAATTAAACATTTGGTGCTTATGAGCAACAGCACAGTTGCTCTCTGCACACAAGTTACCTTATGAGATACCTCAGGGAATGTATGCACTGAGGGGCAAGAACCTGGGAAAGCCAAAGAGCAGCTTTTCTGGACCATTTAATCCTTTACTTTGCACCTTACCAGGAACCTCGCAATATTTAATGGTTTTCTTCAAACCTCAGCTTCTACAGATGAGCAATGATTTCAGACTAAATACTCTTATAAGGGGGGGAAACAGAGCTTTGAGAGAAAAGAGGAACATTCAAGGTTTAACGGTCCTGGCCCGCTAACACTGGTCATTTGTTAACTTAAGAGTGACCTGATCCTGGGAGCACAAATATGCTCTCCCTGTGTGACATACAGCAAAGTCAGAGATGTCCCTGCCCTCCCCAGATTGTTCCCTTCCATCAGTCCAGCGCTAGGGATGCACCCCTACGTCTGCCCAACCAACCGCTGCCTCACAGAGAAGGGAAGTCAAAGCCATGCCCGAGAACCAGCAAGCCTGGGGATAGATCTGGACCCCGTTTCTTACATCATCTGCATCGATCAACTGCCTCCTGCCTCCTCTGCACTGGGGAGGCTGCTGCCTGTTTCCAGCTAGTGGTCCTAATTCCCAAAGCTGGACTACCAACTCATTAGCTCCAGTGAGTATTTCTTGGGTAACAGCCGCCTGGGGTAACAGCAAGCAGCTCTGTAACAGCCCATAAGACGTTCTCTCCATCGTGAGTCCTGTTCAAGTGAAAGGCAGAGACGGAAATTCACTGACCAGCAGGAGAGAACAAAACACATTAAAGGTGTGATTGAAAACTGCCCTGACAAGAGAACAATTACAGCCTGTTCCAGTCTGAGGCCCTTCTTGGTGCCAAGGTACTCTCCAGAAGTGGCGAAGGCCCACTGGAAGATCCCCAATTGCATGAACATACGCACAAGGCTCCTTACCAGGGAGCAGAGGCACCTCTGTGGGCAAACACAATGCCACGGGGCACGCAGGCAGGGAGACGTACCCAGCCAGGAAAGCTGCCTGTGAGGTCTGGATGGCAGCTGCATTTGCCAGCTATAGTCACTGCCTGGCAAAAAAATTGAGTCAGTCCTGGAGGAATAACCGTTCTTCAGAGGAATCTGAAGCCCAATATTAGTTGCCACCCCGGGCACAGAAGAGCCACTCTGGATTCAGAGAGGATGCCTGAGGCACTTGGATATCTCTTTCACTCAGACAAAAGCAGTGCCCTGAGGAATGCCTCTTTTCTTGGGCAGGAATTAAATAGGACACATGGCGCAAGCATGTTTGTGTAATTGCATTTATTAGAGAAGCTTCTTTTAATCCTTCTGCAGCACTCAAGTTCTTTATTATTGTTATTGTCAGCTGGCTGATACCCCACATGCCAACTAGGTCTAGCCTGACTGCTACAAAACACACACTGCGTTGTTTCAGCGTCCTGTGTGGTAACATAGGAACAGACACAAAGCTGATGCCCCCCAGGACAGAAAGAAGAATCCAAGCCAGAGCCAGGCAATGCTACAGCCAACAGCAGGGGCACTGGCTCTCCACGCTGCAGAAGGACAGCAGCCTGGAAGGATGGACTGCGGCCGGGGTACAGGGATGAAACAGAAGGTCCCACAGCAACGTGTGCGCGCCATCAAGGCAAAATGAAAGCAGATGAAGCTTGCTAACCATCCAGTCCTTCCCAGTAAATACTTTTCCATAAACACCAAAGTGACTACGTTTGCCAACAACAACAACCATGGGAGCAAAGTTTTTATTGGTACAGAAATAGGATTTTCCGTTACCGCTGTACAAAGGCCTGTCTTTAATAAACAACAAAACCAAACCCATCAGCTTTGTGTTTGGGGCTCACTGGACACTATTCCAGCCCACTCCCAGGGGACAGTAGCATCCTTTCAGAGGTGCCCTTCCTTCCAGCTCAAGCCAGCGCTTTAGGGGGTCTAAGGGCGGTCACTGCAAAAAAACAATCACATTAATGATCTCCTGCCCAAGCAGAACTTTTCAACGTGCCATTGCTTAGTTTTCAGTGCTGCTGCCTGTCTTAATATTCATCCTCCAGCTAGCTAAGGATTTGGCAAATCACATAAGAAGAAGTGAGAAAGGTCTGGCAATCACCTCAAGTTCACCAGTGCATTTGCTCGCTGCAAGACTAAGCTGACTGTATCTTTTTATAAAGGTAACCTTAACATTTTCTGAAGACGTCCCTTCTCTTCTGGCAGTCCAGAGAAATTGGCACATGCTGTAACGGGCACTATGAAATCAGAAAAAACAGATCTATTTATACACAAACAGATGTTCTTTGCTTTTGGTTTGGGATTTTTTTTTTGTTTTGCTTTTTTTTTTTTTTTAAGAAACACACAAAGAGATTTCTACAACACACTTGGTTTTCCCTGAACAGTGACAGTCAGCAGTAAGACCTACTTTCTATGCTATGCATTTTCTCTATGTAAATTTTCCTGATACACACTCAAAGGTGTATCTCACACGCATGCTTATAAATCCAGACTTCTTATTCTCTAAAACAACAGCTCCTGGCATCGCTTTCCAGCTGAAAGAAATGGAAAGGATTTTTTTGTTGCTGTTCCCCACTGAAAGCCCAAGCACATATTTTTCCCTGCACTGCTAACGCTCAAATGTCTGGCTGGAAACACATCTGTATATGCCAGCAACAAAGCTCTCCCTCCCCATCCTGCCTGAGCCCTCTAAAAAACAATACTCGCTTTTGAGATGTGCAATACACAACAGCTTTCTCCTCCTGACTGCTCGCATTCAAAAACCTTCCCTGCTCCTGGGTGCTCCGCTCAGCATGGAGGCATCTAAAAGCTGCAGGGCCTAAGGAGTGCTGATTCGAGTACCCCGGTGGGAAACCACAAGCCCGGAGTCAGCTATCTGGCTGCAGATCCTCGCCTGCCAAGCCGGCTCTCGTTACAGCAGAAGCTCCATGTTAAGATGCCTTCGGCAGCTGCTCTGGTTTAAGAAGTTCCTATCGCCCAATTTACTGACACTCATTATGGCCCCCTCAGCTGTGCTGATTCCAAATTAGATCTGTGAAATCATTATTTTTAAAAACAAATACTTGGCAGGGGGTGGGCGGGTTTGAGGGAAATAGCTTTTTTTCCTTGTGCCATACCATGGATCCAGTTTAAAGGGCAATCACACAGACTACTCACTAATCACAGTATGGGGGCAGACACAAGTCGTTCAGAGTAGGAAGTTCTCAAACTAAATTTGCTGGCAAAGAACCACAGTGCAGAACTGCAGCTCTAGTGAGAGACAGTCTGCAGGATATGGAGTTTGGGTTTCACAGACGCTGTTAAACCAGATCTGCCGCAGAAGGAAGCGTAACACGCAGCCAGCATCTAAGAAGTGCCAGCTCCTTTGTGGCAGACAACGTTCTGCTCACTAAAGATGGGCTCAGCCTGCAAGACTCAAAGCTGAATCCTTATATATTCAACACCCATGACCTCAGGAGCTGTCATTTTGGTTTAGTCCATTTGTTATATTCTGGCCCCAGTCTGAAGTGCTGAATCTACCATTCTGTTTGCTCTGAGAAAGACGCATGACTCCTTCAGAGCCTTCTTCAGCAGAGCAACAGCACGCACACAACCCCAGACACACGCAAAGGGCTATGCCCCTCCATCGCTCCGGCCTGTTTTACATTCCACCTGCCTTCCCACCGCCATCAGACCTCCGCGCTCGCACATTCCCGTTACTGGTGACCGCGGGCGACACAGAAGGAAATTTTCACATTCAATCAGTACAGCCAGGGAAAGGCATGAATTCTGAACATGCTCCAAACACGCCTACGCACCATACCCCTTTTCCCTGGTACCTACAGCTTCTCATTCACTGCGCAGCCCACTCAGCAGTTCCACACACTGAACAGATGATAGGAT